GTCTACAACAGGAAGCAACAAAAATTTGCAGAAACGCAGCGGCCCGTAGAGGCGCCGTCACCATGTTTTTTGAGCGAGCGGCGGCAGCGTTCCAGGATCCCGTGCTGCTTCGCGAAGGTCTGACGCGCTTTGGGAAACAGGGTAGCGTTTGAAATCTTGGCGGTCTAGAGAAGCTGAATGAGACTAGCGCTCGAATTGATATGCTATCCACTTTTCACTCAGTGCTTGCTGCTGACTTATGACCATTGCCGAAGATGTAACCCTGCAAAAGCCGTCCCCAAAGTATGGCTTGCGTCCCTACCATGCGTGCAAAAACCTTGCAGCTATGTTACAGGATTCCTTCCCATATGTGACGAGATTCCCTCCTGTTGTGCCCAGGAAAATAAGGGTCCTCCAAAGGACTCCCAGAATGGGCTGTATTAGCTTCCGTTTGGTTTCCATTTGATTCTCCATCATTGGGAAAATCCCCAAGAAAACAGAGGATGTTGTATCCCTAAACCCTAAACCCTAAACCCTTAAACCGTGTGATGATATACTCCTGCATGGAACGCCTTTGCGATGCTTTCGGCCTCCGCGTGGTCCAACATGGCGTCTCTGGCCGTGTAATTCGGCAAACTCTCCTTGCAGCAGGATATGAGCTATAGTCTAAACTCCTAGTATCCCCCTTAATATCCTCTATAGCAGTCCCCTATATAATCCCTTATATAACCCCCTTTAAGGAGTTTAGACTATAACTCATATCAGGATTTGGGGTTGAAAGGCCTGGGATCAGCGGTCCAGCAAAAAGCAATTGTTCATCCTAGACCCTTCTGCACCGCTGCGCACAAAGTGCAGCGCCCCACGCCTACGCCATGGGCACGTCAGGAGTGCCATGGATACACATGCTAGAAACATCCTACTGGTGATTAGCGGGGAATAAGGAAATATAATCTTTACATAATCACTATATAGCATATTCCCTTATTCTCTACTAACCCCCAGTAAGACATACTTTATCATACTTCCTTTGCCAGGTGTCTGATTTGTCAAAGATGCAAGGACTTTTCAACTCCGGCGCTTCTTGGCGCCCGAGAAGGTGTTGCTACTTCAAGGGTGTACCAAGGTTACAATCACAATCATCTCAGAATTGGCAGCAAGAATGTCTGTGCAGGCAGCATGAGCTGGGTCAAATTTCTGGCAGCTTAGGGCAGCCAACGAAAGGAAGCGAACGCGCACACCCCCACCTAGCTCGTAAAGCTCCGCTGCTCAGTTATCATGGCTCCCACTAAGGGCCGCTTGAATTCCTAGGGCCCCCACAGGGCACAGCGCGCCGTCTGCCATGCCAAGGTGGTAGGTTCCGCGCTCAATCTGAACCCGAGATGTACCTCGTTGCCGCACCCTTCTAGCTGTGGAATGGAATTCATCGACAGGAGTTGAAATGCTTGGCAGCATTCATACTTCGTACTTCTAGGCCTCTCATTCCATGTCCTCCGCAACCTTTGCAGCCCAAGCAGGACCACGCGGACCCTGATCTCAACCCAGACGGCACCCACATATGAATGACATTCATACTGATACATGTTCGCTCTACTCAGCAACAGCTAGCCGGTCAGTTTCGACTTCTTTGTGGCCATGCATGATTGCACCCAACATCCACGCGGAGACGAGTGCAGACTGAGCATTCCATGAGGGACCTATTGTATTCCTGCAGTGGACCTGGTCGCGACGTAACCTGCGCTCGCAGTATGATTGGTTGTCAGGACTGCAGACATATCTGGGCGCGCCGACGGTTTGCCAAAGTGCGCCAAGAGCCACCAATGGCTGACTGCCTGGACAGTAGTTGCGGGAAGCCTACGAGACAACAGGACACCGTGAACAAAACGTTTAGCAAATCCCTCTCTCCCAAACAATTGAACAAATGCTAGCGCCCTTCCTGATTGAGCCAGTGCCACACGAAACAAGCCAACACTCAATATGAGACTATCTGGCGCTGAAGAAATTCATACCAGTCTAGCTGTTGCCTTTCCGATGCAGCTCAACTCCTCAACGCTCCAGCGGAGCCAGCTATTGAGTCAAAAGAGATTGCACAACCAGATTTAAATAGCCAGAAGCCGTGTTAGCGCCAAAAGCTGCCTGTAGGCCGAGTCACTGAATGCACCATACCATGACCACAGAAAGGTTATGTGTTATGTGTAGTCCCATCCAGTTATCATACCCCAGGGGCAAACATCATCCACGAGCCCTCAACTCCAACCCTTGAGCCCAGACACCGCTCGAAGATTTGAAAGTCTATGTTGCGCAGCTGTAGCTCGCGAGCCTGTGGCACATGCTTCAGCTCAAAGCAGGGAAGTTACTTCCAAGCCCTCGAAAGGAGGCGTATTATGGTGCCATCAGCGGTGGGCCAGGATGATGGAGGTTTAGGTCAATAGATTGCCAAAGGTTCAGGGAGGCACTGAACTTTTTTTTTGCGTGATAGCAGGCTCACAGGGTAAGTCTGACGGCATGCAACCTCTTTAAGGTTTTCCTGTACGTTTAACACAAGCCACCCTGGAGGGGAATAGAGTTAAGCTCCGCAACAACCAAGCACAAGCAAATGCCGGCAACTCCTCTAAACTATGTTCGAGAATTCCTTTCCCAAGACATTTCCTAAGGCCAAAATCTGCCAGTGACCCGCACTATCCAAATGGAACAGCTATCCGGGTATTCATACTGCACTTGGGGTCACAACTATCACAACTAGATTAGATGTTCTGCTGCTTGCGAAGTCGAAGTCTACAACTCCCAGACTTCATCGATTGCATGTTGCAATGCTTGCTTTATGACGCCATTCCGGCCTACTAAAACGACAAAGCACTCCTCAAATCCCCATCCACATCCCTTACAGCGTTGAGCCTGACTTCAGCCTCATAGGCCCCAACCCGTGCCCATATGGTACCCATTCGGGTAATGTTAGGGTAATATTCGGGTAATATTAGGGTAATATTAGGGTAATATTGGGGTAATATTGGGGTAATTATGTCCTTTGCATGCAGTCAGTTCTCACAACTCGGAGCCTCGACGCTGAAAACCCTAAGCGCCGAACCCGAGACACCGATCCAGAAATTCTCAACCCTGTTAATGGGGACCCCCCTCAAAGGCTCCTAATTTGAAACCGCCCACCCCTGACTAACTGGTTCTTAGTAGGGAGTAAGGGAATACAAGCCCCATATGACCCCTGTATCATACATTCCCTTATTCCCTACTGCAACCCCAGTATATACGCTACTGTAAAGTAGTAGCTTCCATTCTCTTCCCCGTTCTCCCCATATAACCCCACCCATATAGGCTAATATCTAAACTCCTCGTATTCCCCTTAAAAACCCCTACGATACTCCCCTTTTAATCCCCTATATAAGCCCCTTCACGGAGTTTAGAGTATATGATGGCTCAAAATCCACTCCCCCTAATATTCAACCTCCCCATCCCCCCCAATACTAAATACTCCCCTT